GCTGCTGAGAACCATGTATCTGTTAGGCACTGGGTGTCTTCCTGCTGAGCCATCTGTCCCCTTCTTAATGGGATCAATTGCCTCTGTCTTGTTGAGGCATTGATTTCTATAGATTTCCTATAGTTTTAGAGATTAGGCCCTTCTCCGAAGCATCATGGCCCCAGTTTGCACCAGTCTTTCTGTTCTCGTGATACTTGTTTGATGAAGTTTGTTGATGCACACAGGTGTCGTATTTTTAGTAGGTCCCAGTCACCTGTTTTGTCTTCTGTTGTGTGTATATATTTTGGTACATTTGATAGCGTGTATATGCCACGTACTAGGGCCCATAAGTGTGCCCTTATTTCTTTCCATCAATGGACTTTAGAGTTGTAGAGGTCGCATTCCGTCCCTATACCAATCTTGACTTCGTTTTTGTCTGTGGAGGGAGGGAGGGTCCCGTTTCATTCTGCAAATGGAAATCCGATTTTGCCGGCACCTTTGGTTGAAGAGACTTACCTCGTGCCCACTTAATGGATTGTGGCCTTTTGTCCAGAATTGGTTGTAAGTGCATGTGGTTATTTCTGGGTTCTACGTGCCGGCGGGCCAGTACGAGGCTATTTTGAGCCCTGCGGCTGCGTGGTGGGCTTTGAGGCCAGTGCGTGAGTGATCCTCTCGTGTAAGGAGCATCCTCCCCGCACTTCTCCTTCTCCTTCGACACTTTGCTTGGAGCTCTTACAGATGCTACCACAATCCACGGTTCCATCCGACCAAGCATGGCTGTGCGATGGCTTCCCTCATCATTTTCAAAGCAGCGTCCTTCTTCGTGAACTCCCTGATGCCGGCTCCCCTCTGTCCCCTCCCTCCTGCACCTGCCGCCGGCTTCTCCCAGCACAGACCTCTTCGTTGTGGCATCCCCGGCGCGTCAGGTACTGCTTGCCACCGTTCATGGACCCAGGCCTTCTCTGAGCGTGTGTGTTCACGGTGCAGCTTTCACATACGTGCACACACGGAGAATGGAGAAGACGCGGCTGGGCCAGGCACACCTCGGCCCTCAACGTGGCAGGGTGGATTTGGAATACTTTAAAGCGGCGTTAGGGTGGCAGATGTGCCCAGCGCAACAGTTGGTCCTGTGAGCGCCGGTTGTGGGTCCAGGTTCGGCGAGTTCTCTGGCAAGCTCAGCCTTGCCTGTATGGACCGGTGCCAGCTAACACATAAGGAGCCTGGGAGCATCGGCTGGGAGGGGGGAGCGCTGTTGGGGCTCATGTGGCTCTCTTGACGGGATCTCGACATCGAAACTTGTTGACTTCACATCGTTAGAAACACCCCTGACCACACACAGCTGGCCCAAAGCTCTTCCCCTGATGCAGTCTCTGTAGAGTTTTCTACATTGCTCAAAGATAAGCAGGCTGGGTGCAGATGTGCCTTAGAGAGGCTAGAGAACCCCGAGTCTTCCCTCATTAGCCGGCTGAGTGATGGAGAGCTGGGCCCTGCTCTCTCGTGAGCCCACAGACACCCCGAGATGGCCTCTGACTCAGAGACCCTTGTCGCTGTGTGTGCTGGCTCAGGGTCAGCAGTCGTTTCCCGTGTGAAACACCTGTACGGGGCTCCCCAAGGGTGAATTCCAAAGCCAGCGGTGTCTCTCCTCTCTGTAGTCCGACTGCAAACAGGAGCCCACAGGCAGTCTGTGCGGCACGGCGGCCGTCTCCGCTGCTGCGCCTTCTGCAAAGAAATGTCTCCCTCTCCCTCTGACGTGGGCAAACACCTGCATGTGGGGTGACCCTGTGGCACCCTGAGTGCCCGTGCTGCTGGCCAGCTGTGCCATGTCCCGCTCTGAACCCATCCTGTGATTGCAGTGTGTGGGGCTGACTCCCACCCCACCCCCTTAGTAAGCAGGGGATTGGGAAACCACGTAGCAGCAGGTGAAATAAGGACAGCACTGGGCAGTGCCCACGGGTCCAGCATGTTCCTGGGAAGAGATTCTGGAGGCCATAGGCCGGTGGCCCCTGGGATTTACCTCGGAGCTCTCAGATCCTCCTCAGAGGGGAGTGAGTGAGTGACGGGCAGTGTGTGCTGCGGTGTCCGTCTGTCCTGCCGCTCGCTCCTGCCTCAGCCCCCGCCCTTCCTGCAGGCCACAAGATTCCCTTTGCCGTCATCTTTGGAGGGACTGATGTGAACGAGGATGTTCGCCAGCAGGAGAAGGAGGAGGCGATGGGGAAAGTCCTGGAAGAAGCCAGGTAACGTGGAAGACCACATTGGCAGTCACAGGTGTCAGACGTCAGTGGCCTCTGACCCCAGCGATTTTCCTGCCCCCCAAGTCCAGTAATCACTAGAGGACCTCACGGAAGGCCATGCTTGTGCTCACCACGAGTTCTCCCCCGGCGGCAGGAAGGGTGCCGAGCAGACTGGCCAGCAGGAGGGAGAGGTGCAAAGGCAAGGTCCAGGAGAGCCCAGAGCACCCTCTCCCCCAGCTCATCACTGAACTTGCTCTGGTGTCCAGCGCTTTTCTTGAGGGTCCACTAAGTAGGTGTGGTTAGTCAAAGGGGTCCTGCCCACGAGGGTGACCCCAACCCCCAGCCTCCCCCCCTCTCCCCCCAGCCAGCTGCTGCCACCAGGCTCCAGCCCGTGACCATGAAGCTGGAAGGGCCCACCTCAAGCAGGACAAAGCCTGCCTGCCTCTGGAGATGGCCCAGTGGGTTCGAGGGCCCTGGCCCTGGCGGTGTCCTGCCCACACACTGGGCAGCGGCTTGAAGGCACTTTTAGCTCCCAGGGAGAAAGACAGGCCATTCTCCTCCCCTACAGAGCTCCCCTGGACAGCCCCAGGGGCAGGCCTCTCTGCCATGTGACCTTGCTGTGAGGCAGTGTTGCCTCCGGGCAGTGAGGGATGCGGTGGTGTTGAGAGGGGCTCTGGTAGCCATGCTTTCAGCGCCCTGGACTTGTT